AAGAATAGTAAAGAACAATAACATAGAACATACAATTATTAAGCTATGTTTCCGTTAAAATCTAACATACACTTTTCCTATTCGTTATTAAAGCAGATTTTATGCAAACAAAAATGTTTAAACATATATCTATATGGGAAGATTAATTCGCTTTCGCTTTTCTTTATAGATGTTTTGTTTTAATAAGACGAGAGTCCTTATTATAATACGTCTTCCTTATATGTTTTTTTTTTTTTTTTTTTTTTTTTTTTTTATTATTATTAATGCTATTATCAATATTACTTTATGGGAATGAATAGTTTGAAATTCGTGTAAGTTACATAGTTATCCAAGTAGGCTTAAATACATATAAATTCATCAATAAAGAAACTACGCGTTTGACTGCGCAAAAACTGAATAGTTTTAATTTAAATTTTAAATTAACACAATCGTGAGAAAAATTGCATATACGATAAGTGTAGCGCAAAATTAATATTATAAGTTCATTGGGAACAGGGTTTTTAAAGTCGAATTGTACAGCAGTTTTTATGAAAACTACTTTATAATTAAATTAATAAGTAAGTCGCGTAAAAAAAATGAAACTAATACACTAAATAATATAATTGGTAGGTAATAATTCATAAAAATTTATCGCGTTACTTTTATTTTATCTTATTAAGCTAGAAGTTAAAATATTACCCAATAAATTCAATATAATATAAAATGTCAAATATGAAAATATATGTACGTAAAAAGTATTAAATTTTCTTCTCGGTCAATGATCTGAAAGCGAGTTCATTTCTATCAAAGCTTTATTTCATGAATTATTACGTTTATTATAACGTTATAGAACATTTTTTTTGTTATATATTAAAAATAATATATTAAAAGATTGTTATCCCTTTCTAAGTATATCAAAATTTTAACATTTCTCTATTAAGCTTGTATTATTGAGGTAATTAAAAAATAATCCAATAGTCAATAATTGACAGATCCTACATGTGAAATGATAATAAAATTGCAGACAATAAAATCATGGTTATAATAGAAACACATTCGTTAGTTCCTTTTTTTTTATATTAAAATATAAACAAGGTAATAAATAATTTGCCATCTAATCTTCAAATATATATATATATATATATATATATATATATATATATAATCTCTATTTCACTAGTTCAACTATAATTGTCCAGAACCTCTGCTCAAATGTACGGTTTGTCATTAAAAATTTACATTGTCGTATTACAACGTGTCGTCCTTTTAACGCTTTTAACCATCGAACGATGACTGCTTATATCCTGAAAGCTCAGGATGCTGCGCTTTTTCCCGTAAGAATTCCAAGAGTTCCTGCTCGTTTTCAGGTAACTTGATATCGCATCTCCCCGATCGTCGCCCCGTCACCATAAAAACAGTAAACCTCCATTGCATCCGACGGAAGCTCGACCCGCGGCTCTTTCTCAACGACAAAAGGAGGAGTTGTCTGCAGAAAGTGTGCGCACGCGCGCGCCGAAGGCAAATAAAAGAATCGTCGCGGAGATTGGAACCCAGCGACACTGCGATTCTTTTAAACGCTGTGCTCGAGATCGTGAGACTTTCACTTTCCACGAGGCGCTCGATGTGAGCAGGTGAGCGAAGTACGAGCATCCAGAGGTTTGTGAGTCGAGGACGAGTCGCCGTTGGATTGACAATCGGTGAGTATGTCCACTTATCCATTATGGATTTACCGCCGCCCATTGAGTTTCCTCGATTTATGTGGAGGAAAAGCGCCGAGATTCTTTACGAATGCTAAAGTGGCGACTTTCTTCCTCGCAACATACATCTCTTTTCTCATTGATTTATCAATGCTGACATTATATTTATTTATTTATTTTTTTATTATTTATTTTTTTTTTTTTACACATCTAGAACGTAATGCTGAATTGAATGGAGAGAACATTTTTTGACGCGTTAAACTATACGGTGAAAATACTTTAAATCGGAGCGATAATAAAAGCGTTCGAATTTCGTCAGTTCCAAAACACTTTAGCTGATATAATTTTCTAGTTCACCTTTTGCATAAATTCCATCGCAATTGATTTATATAACAAATGTATATAATGTTCGTTGCAAGTGAGTTCGGCTACTTTGATATACGTATTATTGTCTTTTGATATCGTTTATTAACTATCAAATATTTAAGCTGGATAAAACGAAATTTGCAATTTGCAATAAAAACAAAATTTAAGCAATTGTAATTTATATGTAATCGGGCTGCAAGTGTATTTATCTTTTATTTGCTTTTGTATTTAATGGACAATGGAGAACATTATGTTGAAAAATATTTATTATTCGTAATAGAAATAATTTTTTGATAATTGACTTTATCTACATAAAGTATTTCCTATTATTTACCTTGGAAAGATAATCTATTTAACTTCTTTCCTTAAATCGTATTTTGACAATTGTTTTATTAATAATATTTAATTTCAACATAAACTATTTTTAATGAATACTGTCGATGTAATTTTTCTTAATTATTCTTCAACGACCTTTCGCCGCGCAACTAATAATATTTTTTTCAATATCTTAAGTTTATTAAAGGCCAGTTAAGCTTAAACAATACGCATTTTACGTCACATTCGCTTGATCATAAAAGCAAATTGCATAAAAAACATAATATGCAGAAATGTTTAATTATTACCGATTCGTTATGTCACTTGAAAGTAACCTTGCCCCTGGTTTCTGACGTAATATCAAATGATATATATATAAAGGCCACGAATATTACTCAATCTCTCTCTCTCTCTCTCTCTCTCTCTCTCTCTCTCTCTCTCTCCTAAATGTTGCATACTTTTTCTTTATTCATTGCTTATTTCTTTGATAAGTTGTATTATTATTTATTATTATCAATTTGTCACTTTCTTAGAATAAGAAGTCAGACCAACAATATTCATTGAAATATTCTTTATCTATTATAAATGATTTAATATTTTTATTTACTTAATTATACATGATATAGTAATCGTTAAAGATAAGTTTCAATGAGGAAATATAATATGTATTGGAATATACAATAGACAAATAGGAATAAAAACTCTCTTTTAGTTACTTCCTGAAATTGATTGAAATTGATCAGGAAAATTTAACTAATTTTAATATATTGAGTGAAATTATATGCTGTGAAAGTAAATTTTGAAATTACTTTACAAATTAATAAACATATTATTTAAAAATAAGTTAGTTTTATGTATAATTACGTTCATGGTAAATATTTTTATTAATTAAAAATTTTAAACAACATATCGATTCGCATTGCAAGCATCGATATATTATTAATAAATAAAGGCATTTTTTTTTGTAAATACTCAATTATGTTTTTGACAAATTCTATATTTTCTATACTATATACATTAAATTAATCTAAAGTGATTTTATAATTTATACAGAGCTAAATATATCTATGAACTTTGTGAATGAACTGGTAGTATGCAAATGAAAGAAAACATATATACAAAATTAAAAAAAAAAAATTCCTATTTTTTGTGCAAACATTTTTATAAAATAAAACGCTACTTCAAATTGTCATATACTTTCTTTAATTAAAATATTATATTAAAATTAATGTTTTTTTAGTATTATGAGAAGTTTCACATTCTATCTTTATTTTTAGTTTTTTTTTTCTTATTCATTTTCAAAATAAGTGACTAATATATTGAAAAAAGATTTCATTAAAATAAATTCTAAGAGCTATTAATCTTTGTAGTTGAAATTCTCTAATAAGTTATTTTTTGTAATTATGCATTGTGCGTTGAAAGATATATGAAAGCATAATTTTTAATATTGCATCTCAATAAGATTTTGTTGCTTTTATTTTTTCTTATAAATGTTCAAAAATTGTTACCGTTTAAACTGTTTTTCAACTCACCGTAAGTCTTTATATTTAAAAATCGTTTAAAATATTTAATAAATATCTTTATTTAATTTCTATCAAAATCATTTTTTAAATCTGTGTCTATATATTTTATAAATGTATATATTAATATTTATATAATAATATAATGTAATTTTAATATTTCATTAAATTATATATTTTAACGTAAGGTTTTGATTTAACAAACAACATATTTGATTTGATGCCTAATTATTGTGTGATGCATTCTTATAAATAATTTAAGTAATTAAAGTGGTACAGTCACAATCTATATATGAGCTTGACATTGTATTTTTTTTTCTTTGTTTTTTTTTTATTTTTGAGAACTTGGGTAATTACGTTTAGAGAAAGCTGTCGCGGCAGGATTAATCTCATAAATAATTTAGACTTGATATTATGAAATTACGGTAATTCCAAACGTAAGGTAAAATTTATTTTAAATTCGATGTAACTGACTTAACAAATACGAAAGACATATTTCTTATGAACAATATATAAATGTTTCAATGTATAAAATATTAAAAATGCGAAGTAGCAGAACATGTTACGTGATTAATGATCTCATTTGCTTCAACGCAACAATCAAGTGCTTCACCAATCTTTTATTTATCAACTTTTCATCGGTTGTTTCACACTTTCTTTAGCGACTCGTCTTTATAAGATCTTTTTAGTAAAGAATCGTAAACGAAACGATTAAAATTTATTTAAAATTTTTTTAATAAAATTAATATATATATTTTTCGATTTTTAATACATGCTTATGGATTAAAAAAGGCAATTGTACTTTTTGATATTATGTTTGTTAAAAAGCAATTTGTATTATAAAGCAAAGAAGGAACCCTGAATTTTCTTTGAAGTAGCATTGACCCAGTGATGCCATAATATAAAATCGGTGTATATGTAAATTTTGAGCTAAATTTATTTACTGGTATATAGATTCTCTTGTACAACGATTATGTAATCAAACAGAAAACTTTCCAAAACAATTATAAAATAAAAATTTTTTTACCTCTATTATCATAGAAAATAGTTATTGGTAGTCTCAATAAGATTTATAATAGTTTATTTTATTTTATTTTTTTTTTTACTTCTCTTTCTAGATCAAAATGACAGCGGACGAATTAAACTCGGAGCTCAAATCCCAAACTACATTGCAAAAGTTTTACGCTGGACAAAATGTTCTTATTACAGGTTTAATTTATTATTCATGTTTTATATTAGCCTACTTCTATTGTAATTTCTGCATTGTTTTTACAAGAGCTAAATATTTATCGTTCCTTTTTCATACGTAAACACAAATTAAAAATTTTCTATTTACAATG